GGTGTATATGAGGAGTTTTGTCTCTTGGGAAGGTTTGCATCGTATCTCTAATGGTGGCGTCTCAGGCACCGACTTTTCAGGCAAAGGAAGGGTGATTTTGGGCTGGGGGGCCTTCCTGAAACCTCTGAAGAAACAGCACACCGGCACCTCTGCCAGTCAGCTGCGTCCAGGACCAATGTTCCCCCTGGGTCTGGTTCACTCTTTTGAAGCTTTGTGAAGCCTGGAAGTTCATTCCAACCCTTTCTGTGGTCTCTCTGGTGCAGGCGGAGCTGTAGGAAACATTGTGCAGTGGCATGAAAAAAGTGAAGGGTTTACAGTGTAGTAAACTCTGCAATTTTTCTTTAAAAAAAATACTGCATTAAAAAAATAAAAATACTATGTCTTGTTATAAGGGAAATGTATTTCTACATACACATATATGCAAATATACCTAAGGGACAGTTCAGTTGAAAGTAGGTATACATCTTTATCATAAAAATCCTTGGTTTACCAAAATTAACATTTCTCCTGAAAATGAGAATTCTTGAATCATATTGGGTTTTGGGGAACAACTGCTAATTCATAGGATGTGAGCATCTAGCAGGTACCCAATATGTGTTCTCTGAACCTGCATATTAAATGCAAATACTCTGGGCTGGGCAACATGGTTTTCAGTTTTTGCCTGTGTGTGTGCGTGTGCACGTGTTTATACGTTCTTATGCATTCTATCCAAATGATATTCAGAAACAACACTGTGGCTTTGATGCACTTGTATTTTTTTTCCCATTATGGCTGGTTTTGGATATACGCACAATTACTGTCGTCAAAGCAGTTCCCATTTCACCCTCTCTAAATGTAGATTTACACAGTGGTGGAATGCATACTGCGGGGACTTCACAGTGATGAAAGCTGACACTGAAGAGCTGTTTCAGCCCTGTTCTTCTCACCTGCTGGCATACAGGAACAGACTGGTTTCCTCTGTGCCAGCCCGGACACTGCTGGTTACCCAGACTGGGATTCCAGGGCAAACCCCACGGGTTCTAGTTTGTAAACTGTAAATGGAAACAGCTTTACTTCCTTACATGTACACTTTGGAAATAAAGCCCTAAAAATGAAATCAAGAAAAAAAGGAAAGGGCATGAAACCAATCAGAAACCACAAAAAGTATTCATCCATGAGAGGAAGAAGACCTTGCTGCCAGGCCAGTGGGGAAGCAGGAGATCCTAGAGACTCAGGGAAGCCAAAAAGTGGAACCCAGGGCAAAGGTGTGTGTGTGCGCCCAGATGCACGGATGGACACACACACACACACACACACACACACACACACACACTCATGGATACAATGGGAACCCCAACAGAAAGAGCTGGGAACACAGCTCTGGCATTTTAGGTGTCTCAGCCCACAGCTCTGCCCAAGCCCAGCAGAGGCCCACTCTGCCCCTTCTTGTTTTTATTTGCCCCTTTGCCCAAATTCTCAGATGCCAGGATCCAGGCTCTAGCCCTATGGCTCCCTGTGGAATGCCCTGGGCACCTCCTCAGGGTGCTGGAGAGACCACCATAGGGTAAGACTCACAGGATAAGGCTCAGGAGGCCTGGGTTCTCCCTCTGTTTTTGCCTCCCTATCCTCCTTAGATTCTTCTAGTATAAAGAGGCTCAAAGATCTCCTAGATCTCTTCCAGATCCAACAACAGATGATTATTTTGGAAAATAGTGAAATTCAGAGACTCAGTCTATCAGAATACTTTGGCTGCAAATAACAGAGATATGAAGAATAAAAACTTGGGGTTCTGTTAGCAAGAAAGGGAAGGGGAGCAGCAGTTGGGTGACCAACAGTGCCTACTACAATCGGGGGAGTGCTTTCAGGAGCGAGAAACCAAGATTAGTCTGGTTGTTGTAACCAGGAAGGATATTTATTGAAAGAAAGGTGTGGTGTGAGTCTGGAGGAAACAGGCCGGAAAAAAGCAGGAAGCACAATAGATGCCTTCTAGCTGGAGTGGCCTGGTGTGGATTCCTCATCACAGCAGAAGAATTCTAGTGCCTCTGGGCTATGTGTCACTCATTCAAGATTGAAGTCTTGGCAGCAATATAGTATTGGCTCAGGCTGGGATTCAGGCCTATGACCTGGATAGCTGAGTACAGAGAGAAAGAAGACTTGGCCTTTTTAGTTTCCAAAGCGGCCACCTACCAAGACCTTATATAATAGGAGATTCCCCTCCAATAAGAAAGAGGAGTTGGTTACTACTCGGCCAAAACAAAGCCAGATGGCCCAGCTAATATCCAGGAATTTGCAAAGCCCTTATTGAGCCTGTGGCCTGGTAAATGCAGTACTTGGGGAGGCAATGGTTGGACTTATTTATGGCCACCATGATTAATTACCAGGAAGCAAGTAATGACTATATCCTTCATATAATTTTACAAGTCTTATTAACAGCAGGGTAAGCTTATTTTGATGATAACATGAGGATCTATGTCCACCAAGTTTGTAGTGTGGTTGCTTGTTCACAATTTTAAGATGTTATTAGAATAGAGTTGTTGTTAAAAAAAAAAAGACTTAGAAGGAACATTTAAAAAAATTAGTCTCAAAGATTGCCAGCTGGATACATCACACCTGAGTGAAGCTGTGGAAAGGCTCCAAGCAGTGCCCTAATACATTTGCAAGTCCGTGGAAGGTCTGAGGTTCCTTTTTAAGTTGGAAAGATAAGTAATACCTTTTCACCTCAAAGTAAGGCCATTAAGCTCCAGATGATCCTCAATGAAGGATATCATCCTCTCGATATTCAAAAATCACCCCTCTACAGGGGCCTCTAGACTGCCCATTGTGGGATACGACAGAAACCAAATCCTGCTCCTGTCTTCCTGGGACCTGGCTTGATACCACTTTCAGCAACTCATGGAGCCGACTCAACCTAGACAGTGAAAGGCCAAGACCCACAGAACTACCACCGCCCCTCTGTCAGCAGGAAGCAGTTACAGAAGACTGATCTTCATCCACTTTCCCCCAAAGCTTTGGGGTCTTGGACTCTTGAGGCAGGGGAAATATTACAGTATGTAGCTAGTCGAGTATGAGCGGGGCAGGAGAGGGCTCCCCACCACACGTGCACCAGAAGTGTTGAGCAACCATCAGGTGATGGTCAGGCAGTTGTTAACAGTTTCTTTAAAGTAATAATTGGTCAAAGCTGGTGCCAGGGAAAGGTAGGCTCCTAATAAATAGAAAACACCTGAAACTGATCAGCAGCTTCCCAGTCAGATCCTGGAAGTATGCCAGCGTATAAAACCCCAAGTCAAGACGTCAAGCTGTGCACTTGGTTTCTCGAGGCGCCTGCTTGGTCCTCTTCCAAGTTGCACTTTCCTTCTTTCCTTTCCTTTTTTTCCTACTGTCCTAAAGCTTTTAAAATAAACTTCCACTCCTGCTCCGAAAAAAATTACTCAGTCAAAATTTATTTCAAGGCCTGAAAACATTCAGACTAATCAAAATAGTATTACTGTAACTTCTTATAATAGATAATTAATATAAAACTTTGTAAAATATAGATACAGTTAACTAACCTGTACACACCATACCACCCATCATAAAAGCAATGGCTATTTAACAAAATGTAAGGTAACGATAAGTATTAGACATTCACACGCTTGATGAGAACATAATTAACAGCAAGCTAGTCAGACAAAACAAGCACAAATGTTTTCACATTTTCCATGTTTGTTTTTAACTTTGCTTCATAAAGCCGCTTATAATTGAGGTTTCTTTCAAGTATAGGATTTCTAACATTAAAAATAGTATTTTCTACATATCTCTATAAAGAAATGAAAAAGCCACAAGTTGCATTGTTTGCCATAAATTCACACACCAAAAAGTAAAGCACAATCCAACTAAATTTATCCATGCTTCCCTCTTCTCCAGCAACCACTTTAGACGTCTTTCTATATATTTTCAAAATATATTTATTAAGGTCACTTCAAATTCATTTGTGCAGATTAGGGAAAAATGATTCATAGTGAATTATTTTTAAGATTACCTTCTACATACTTCCATCCCTCCACCAAATCAACCACCAAATTTATTGCTAAAGTGAACAGTAATGCAATATACTATTTGAAGGGGCCCAATGCAATCTGTAATTTTAATTTCCTAAGTATCCAAAGATTTCAACTTTCGGCCAATATCAACAAAAAGACTCAAAAATTACAGTCAGTAGGAGGGAAAAAATCTAAAGTATGAAGACAGTTAAACAAAACCTATGCCTTTCCCTCAAGCTACAAGCATTCTTTAGCGTTAAATTACATTGTGCATATACAACTACACGAGTTTAGATTTGTTGAACATACATTAAGAATAAATAATTTCCATGGACTTCTTTGTATTCTTAGAGTATGGGTTCCATCCTATGCGCACCACCATTTTATAGATCTCTCCACTCCCAACACTGGCCCAACCATAATAAATGCCAGCGCATGCATCAGCTGGATGAGTACTACTTCAGGAAAGTTCACCGTGGCCATGCCCCGTGCTTGGAGCCACAGCACCTGGCCTGGGCAGAAGTAGAGCAGGTAATTCAGAATACAGTCCCCTCGCTTGGGGCACGGGCTGTGGCCTGATCCAGGCATTGTCCACACCCCTGCTTAAAGAGGTCCATCTGGGGAGGGAGTGTGAACTCTGTGATGCCCACGACACTCAGTGGTGCAGTGGGTGGGTCCCTCACGCCGCTGACCCCAGGAACAGCTTCTGAGGCAGCTGGACTAGGGAGGGCGATGACCTGCACCTGCTTCTCCCACACACTTCTCTGATGGGGGCCCGCACGGACGACACTGATGGGAGCAGAGGCTTCTCAGTGATGATTTGGGGATGATTTGGATGAAGGCAGAGAGAAGCAGGTGAATTACGCAGCTTCTACTGTATTGATACAAAACTTCGATTTGTCCACACCACCTCCATTTAAAATGAATCAAACCTGTGTTTGCACAGTTTCGCCGTGCCTGTGACCCAGGTGGAGGCGAGCTTCGCCTAAGTATGCAGCAAGACCTCGCCCAGTCAGCAATGCGCATGCGCAAAGCGGCACCCGCACATGCGCACACAGCACAAACACGTGCGGGTGCGCAGTGCTGCCTCTCCGCCAACAGACGGCGATGGGAAGCGAAGTGAGACCCGAGTCCGATGCCAGGCCAGTGAGCCTTGAAAGTCCTGACCTGGCTGCTCCTGTCTTTGGAGAGAGCAGAGTCACAAGGTCTATTGAGGTAAATGACTGGATTTTAATTGGTGCTCTATGATGGAGGTCTCAGGGTAAGGTTCAGTCTTACACTCCTTGACAGCCCAGGCTCCCACCCCGGCCATCATCTTAGGACATGTCAAACGTCCTGTCCAACAACCACTACAATTCAGACATTTCAGAGATTTAAGTTCTTCCCCTTGGTGCAAAGAAACCCAGCAATGGTGGTTCTTGCATCATCTAAAAAGAAACAGTCTCTTCTCAAACTCATTCTTGAGTATTCAAATCCAGTGACTAGGCACTTTTAATCATCCTCTCTAAAACAAACAGACATTTCCTCCAGATTATCAGGCCCACTTAACTTCCTGAAGCCAGTCCCTGAAGGAGTATCACCAAGTCTCCTGCTTAGACCACCGGGCTTGAGGCAGCTCTGGACACCTGGTGGGCACAGTCAGGGAAAGTGGGAGAAGGGAGCGGAGGGATGCCACCTCCTTCTGCCATCTGAGTCCCCCTATGTCTCAGTGCCCTTCAGCTAGAACCCTCCCACTGCTCTCACACACCTCACACTCCGATTTCCAACTTAAATCCTCTTTCCCCCTCCCTGGCCAGGTCACAGGCTCTTTCCTGTCTTGGTGGAGCTGCAGGTGTGTGACAACTTGGTCTCCATTTGCCCACCAAACCCAGCCTCCTCACTGGTCCCTCAAAGCCTGCTCTCCTTGAGACTTCTTTCCTATCTTACCTCCAGTCGATGTTGCACCCCAGCCTTACTCTCTTCATCACCATCACTAAGGAAGGCTTTTCTTGCCTACCGGTCAAACACGGGGCTTCTTCCCTGGGCCCATGGTGTTTATTGACATGATTTCACTGAGCTACAGATGTAGTCTGTGTGGCAGTTGGGATGTGGGGCAGAAAGAAAGGTGTCACATCTACATGTGACATTGCTTTCAGTTTTCCTTCCCAGTTTGTTTCTTTGTTCATGCATCATTGCTCATTTATCATTTGTCTTGTTTTGTGAAAGACATTGGGTATAAAAGAAGATAGATAAGACATGGTTTCTTTCCTCAGCCCTCAAGGAAGCTTGGAGTCTTGTAGGACAGTAGTTAGAGGTTCACAGCAGATAGGGACGATACAGTGTAGTGAGTGCAGTGATAGGGCATTATGAAAGTGATGCAGAGGGGCTCCAAACCTGGGTGGGGAGGAGGCTCAGCTGAACGTTGAAGGATGAGTAGGCAATAGCCAGGGGAAGGTGGGGGTGGGGGAAGGGAGATCAAGGGACAGTGGTATAGCAGGGGGAGGGAACTTGTAGTCTGGAGGCCAGAAAGTCACCATCATGTGTGCTGGGAACTGAAGGTAGTTTGGAGTTGCTGGAACTGAGGTTTGAGGCAGATAGTGGTGAGTGACAAGGCCAGAACTGCTCTACGTCTGGGGGGTGTTATACTTACTGTAGTCATCACGATAGGTAGCCCCTGTTGTACACAATTTTTGTGGCCTTAGACCATGGCCCTGAATGCAGCTGAGCGGTAAGGCTAAGCTTGGCGATAAGGACTATAACCTGATAAGGGCTAAAGAACTTGAACTTTGCCTCATGCTACCCCCAGGTGACTGGGCCCCCACCATACTGTGTCCCTCTAGGCACCTATGTACTAGTCTTTTCCTTCTCACCCCTTCCTCCTTAGATCACAGGCTGTTAGGACTAGAAGAAAGCTTAAATGCCATCAAGGGCAACCCCCTTCTTTTCAACAAATAAAACTACAGTAAAACAAAGGCTCAGAAATGGGATTGGTGTACCAGAGGTCACATAGTCAGTGGTAAAGTCTTCCAGGTCTGTTATTCCCTAAGACCCACTTAGCTACTGGCAATATCCACGGTGTCCACCCTGCCCTGAACTTCTCTTGGTGTTTTCTTTCAGACATTGGGATGTGGCTGAGGCTGATTTGCCAAATCCTCTCCCTAAACCTTATTGTTTATGAATTGGGGGTGGGTCCTGGCGATTGGACAACGAGGCCCCGGGAGAGGTTTATTGGGGAACTGTAGGAAATGCACTTCCTTCCTCTTCTGAGCGAACTTCCAGAAGTACCAGGTGCTCCTGGATGTGTGGGTGGGACCTGCACACAGCCACTGGGTAGAAATTCTCAAAGGAAGTTTGGAAGAAGGGGAGCCTTGGGAGACACACAAATGGAAGCCAGCAGAGCTTCCAGCTTGAACATTTCCCCTCACGCCTTTGGGAAAGACTGCCAGAGACACCTGTACAGCCTGGTGTGTGGTCTGGGGTGACTGCAGAGAGGGGCAGTCAAAGGAAGACTTTCCTGTTGCCACCTACTTGGTAGTATCCTCAGGGTTGGGGCAGGAGGCAAATACTTGAAATTTCAGGCCATGATCAGGGAGGGAGCAGGAGTCCCCCGACCCCATCCCAGTGATGCTGGGAGGGCTGGAAGGAGCCCAGGATACTCAGAAGCCCCTGGTGCCTGTGCAGCTGTAGGCCTGGGTTGCACATGTATCAGTTCTGTGTATGAACAGCAGGTGTTTATCCTCTCTTCCCGTATTTTCTCTCCTCTTGATGTCAGGCTGCCCTGTGACTTGTTTTGGCCAATGGAATATGAGAGCAGCACTAGCAGGGGTTTTAAACGGTTCGTGTGTTTTGGCTTTGTCTCCAGAGCATCACTGGTGAGGAGGAGAGCTTGTTCTGAGTGTCCGCTAGAGCTCCACCACATCCGAACTGCAGGCTATTAAATGAGAAATAAATACAATTGCCATCTGAGATTTCAGGGTTGTTTGTTAAGCAGCAGGGTCAGAGCAAATCCTAGAATACTGTTCCTTTGAGAGACACTGAAAACACAAATGACCAGCGACTTAACACAAAAAGGTTTTCTTTTCTCATGTAAAAGTCAAAAGGAGTTACTGAGACCCAGGACCCTTCCAGCTTTCAGTTTCATCCTCTCCAGGTTGTGGCCTTCATCCTCATGAGCCAAAGTGGAATGAGTGATCAGGGTCCACATTCTAGCCAGCAGGAAGGAAGAGTGAGGGATGGCAGAAGGACATGCCCGTCCCTTTAAGGAGACTTCCTAAAAGTTTTACACCAGGATTAATTTTGAAAATATTTAATGACCAGTAAGGCACGAGTTTCAGTTAATCAGAACCAATGCCAACTATAAACAACAGGTACATTTCTACCTGGGCATGTAGGGTAACTGTCAGCCCTGATCACATCTTTCCACTTACAGATCTCATTGGCAGATCTTAGTCACGTGACCCCACCTAGCTGCAAGGAAGGCTGGGAAACATCGTTTTTCCTTCTGACATCCATGGATCCAAACACAACTTGGAGATTCTATTACCAAGGGAGAAGGAGAAAAAATTTACAGTGGGACAGCTAGTGTCCCTGCCACGCTATTAAAGACATTTAGCAGAGCTCTTGGTACAGGTCTCTAAGCCCTTTCCACAATTTAAAAAAGCATTTTCCAAGTTTCTCTGAAAACTTTTATGAAAAAGTATTTTTCATAAATCGTAAGTCAGCAGAATCTGACCTGATGTGTCTGTTCCATTTGGTGTGACTATTCATACATTTGCTGCAGAAATATAGTGTGTTTGATTATGAGGTACTGCCCTGGATCCCTCTACATACATATAGTATATATACGCATTCACATATATGGGTGTACACAGTATTATCTTTATAAAATCTAAAAAAAATCTAAATTTGAAGCACATTTGCCCCCCAGGGTTTTGGGTAAATCAGGTGATCATACATCCCAGTTTTACAACTGTAATCCTGGTGAGATTATTGATAACTCCCCCATCCCTCCTTTTCACTTTCAAAATTGCCTGGTTTGCATGATACATCAGATGGTCAACCTGTGGGTAAGGGATTGTGAATCCGTACAAAGTTAAGCTCTCGATAAACAGCAGCAGTTATTACCATTCCCAAGTCGAGCTCTTATAATGCCTATATATATACAAGAATATGCTAAAGTTTTTTAAGGTAGCCATCCAGTTCCTCAAGCCTAAACAGTACCCTCATCCCCATTTTGGCTCCATTATTTACAAATTGGCTTCCAAGACCGCATGGCAGCCAGCTTCATCCCAGCTGCCTCTTAGCGGTCACAGGCTTGGAAGCAGTGAGCACTAAATCAGGGCTGTTTTACTGAAGCAGGAAAAGGACTAGCACATTTTGAATGTTGACAGCCTTTTCTTTCTTTGTTTATGGGGAATTTAAAAATAGGTCTGGAGATGACTTTTTGCAGCTGAATTCTACATTCATGATATCCCCTTTCCAAAGAAGAGATGTGGGGGACATCCGATTGGAAAGTACATTTCTTGACTTGAGGTTCTTCCTCCAGGTTCCAGTCAGGAGCTCAACTCCTGGGACAGGTGCCAGTGTCTGTCTCAGCAGGGCCAGCCCTGAGCGGCACTGTAGATGGTCCCTTTCTGTTCCCTCCTCCCTGCATTCCCTCACCATCCCCACTTTGACTTACCCTCTTCCAGTTTCCCACAGCAAAGCACAGTGTAATATTTCCTAAACTTGGCTCATCTTCACTTGCACCTGGGGTGTTTGAAAACACACATTGCTGAGCCCTGCCCCCAGGAGAGTGACTGAGGAGGCTGGGGCCAGGGCCAGGAATCTGTATTTTTAACTGTCCCCTTGGTGATTCTGAAGAGCAAGAAACACTGGGCTAGGCACAGTGGCTTATGCCTGTAATCCCAGCACTTTGGGAGGCTGAGGTTGAGGATCACTTGAGATCAGCAGTTCAAGACCAACCTGGCCATATGGTAAAACCCCATCTCTACTAAAAACACTAAAATTAGCTGAGCGTGGTGGTGTGTGCCTGTAATCCCAGCTACTCCCAAGTCTGAGGCAAGAGAATCAGTTGCACCTGAGAGTTGGAGGTTGCAGTGAGCTGAGATCATGCCACTATACTCCAGCCTGGTGACAGAGTGAAACTCTGTTTTAAAAAAAAAGTAAAAAATTCTGATGAAACTACGGGACAATTACAAAGACTTTGGAAGTATCTTTCCTTCTCTTGAGATCTT